TTATTTAATCTAAGTTTTACACAATATGGGAGCTTTCAGGAAGAAAGACTGAAAGAAACAAGGAAAGCTGGTTATTTTTATGATAAGTTTGATGAAGTATATAATTGCACAGAAGTATGATAGGAGACAAAGGGAGAAATGGTCTAACGGAAATGACCTGAGAGAAACTTGGTAAAGCCTGTTTGCCTGAATTCTTCTCTGTGTCTTCAGAGATAAGGATGTTCCCTTTCTCTTTGCCAGGGGAGATACTTTTCAAACAAAGGTCTTATGACATACTTGAAAGGGGAGGGTAGAATAAGGTCAGAGAGCAGGATGAGGTGAAGGTAAGAGTGACATTGTTTTTTTTTTTAATTTTTTTCTGTTTTTCTGTTTTGTTTTATTTTGTTTTCTTAAATGCCAAGCTGCCATACTTTGGAGTAACAGGTCTTGAACCTTATCAATAGATATTGTCATCCTCACCTCATGGATGAGGAAACTGAGGCTCAGAAAGATCAGGTGCACAGAGTGGGCTGGTGGGGGAGCCAGTATTCCAGTCCAGAGCTTAGGACAGAAAGCCTACGCTCAGCTTCCCATTTCCCTGGGATTTGCTTTTTGCAGCTGGGAGGCAGCTGAGGAGGCAAGATCCCGAGCCTTCCCAGTGGAGATGGACAGAGCTGGGCCTCCCTGCCCGGCTGCCCCTGATCACCCAGACTCAGCTGATAAAGAAATACTGGCTCCTGTGGGGGGGTGGGGGGGGGCAGGCAGCCTTTCAGTAGGAGGGTCCAACTGACACAATACCTGTTTAGCAAGGTTGCTGGCTGGCAGACGTTCAAAGGGATTGCTGCTCACAGAGTCCAGAGGTTCAGAGCCAGGGCAGCCTCCCTCAGCCAGGGGCTTGGGCTGTGGACTTTGGCCTTCAGAAGCAGCCATTTCTCTAAAGTTTAGAGCAATCCCAAGAAGGCTTCAGGCCTTGCCAGGGGAGACTGAAGTGGAAGAAGCTTCAGGAAGTCCAAAGGTGAAGCTAAAGAAGGAGCTCACCAGAAGCAGGTGAGCGGGAAGGCGGGCTGCTGGGACTGGGGAGGAAAGGCTTGGGACAGACAGGATGCCCCCGTGTGCCCAGAAGACAAGCCAGCAGTTTAAGATCTGGGACTGGGACCACATGTCCCACAGCCCACTTACAGAGCTCTGGGGTGCTGTAGCTTCCTTTTAGATATTCTTTCCAGGTTCTTGTTGTCTTGAACAAAGAACTGGTCAAAATAAGTGAAAAAAGTAGCAAGATTTTATATTTATTAAAAGTAGGAACAGAACTTGCTCTGTAGCCAGGCATAGTGGTGCACGCCTATAATCCCACACTTCAGCGGGAGGATTGCTGGGAGGTCAAGACCAGTGCAGGCTACAAAGTGAGCTCAAGGCCAGTCCAAACTGCATAGCGAGACCCTGTCTCAAAAAGATAGGAAAAGAAGAAGACTTGGCTCTGCAGAGTAAGTTCACACCAATTAAAATAGGAAAAGAAGTATCCTAGCAGAGTGAGAGCAGGCCACGGAAAGAGCTTATGGCGGCAATGAGGCTAATGATGGAGGTCTTTGTGTCCCCCACTCCTCAGTCTGACATTGATCTAGGCTCACCTAGCAAAAACCTGCTTGATCTGGCACCAGAAAAACTAAAAGACAGCATTTTCTTTTTTTTTAATTTTTTTTAACATTTATTGTGTGTGTGTGTGTGTGTGTGTGTGTGTGTGGCCAGCTCAGCCCATCAGGGGGTGCGGCTGGCTGGTATGTGGTGCTGGGGGATCAAACCGCGGTCCCCGTGCTTTGCCAAGCTTGTTCCAAGTAGGCGCTTTAGACCACTGAGCCATCTCTCCAGCCCCAAAGACAGCATTTTCTGATTGGTCCCAGGTACAGGTACAGGTACAGCTGTGGGGCTTGGCAGGTGGGTTTCCCAAGGGCTTGTCCTGGATCTCCATGACTGACAGGTCATACGCACTTGCCCAACCAGCTGGCCACACCTCACACTGACCTGTGTCTCCCTCCCCTCATCCATTTCCTGAGTTTTCTTCAGAGCCAGGGCTTCAGGTCAGTGACTCCCAGCCTCCCAGGACAGCTCCAACCCTGTGTCTACCTGGCCTGGCCCATTGCTGGAGGGCTGGTTTTCTGTCAAAAAGTGAGCTGACTAGTTTGGGTAGGCCAAAACAGAGCTGTGTGGCTTCTCATTAGCTCAGAAGGATGTTGAGTCTAACCTCTCTCAGACTTGTGACCCAGGGGCCATTGTTGACCAGCAGAGTGAGATTCCTGAGCCTGCTGTCCTTACTAGACATACTTACTTATCACTTACTGTCCTTAGTACTCACTATCCTGCATGCTCACCATCCTTACTAGAGATAATGGGCCTGTGGCCAGGGTTCGTGGATCAGTGCATGTGAAGTGTGTGGCACAAACCTAAATTATAGCGGGCGATGGGTCTCTGCCAGTGACAGGAGATGAGACTCGAACAACTACCACAGTCTCTCTGGGAGCCCTTGCTTTGAGCTCATTGTCTCCTCTTCTCTTGCAAGTTTCCTCTGCCTTGCTCCAGGCTCATCCCTCTCCTCCTCCCTTTTAGGCACAAGATTTCCTTGTTGCTGTTCACAAGTTTATGCCTGATAGGAGCTCACCCCCGAGACATACACACTTCCATTTCCTCCAGAAAATTCCTCAAGCTACTTGTGTAGACCTTTCTCTGGAACATTATACAAATGATCAATAAGACATGAAAAAATATTGACCGTCATTAGTCAAACCATACTGACACACTATGTCACACCACTCAATTATGACTTTAATTAAAAAGAGAGACAGTAACAAGTATTAAGAAAGAGATAGAGAAATTGAAACCATCCTACCTTGCTGGTGGAAGTGTAAAATAATGTAGCCACTCTGGAAAACTGTTCACCAGTTCCTGAACTATAATTAAACATAAAATGGCCCTCTGACCCAGCAGTTTCCTCCTAACTGTATACCCAAGAGAACTGAAAATGTATGTCACGTAACAATTTGTACAGGGATGGTTCTAATACTTGAAACAGCTCAAGGTTTCATCTGCTGATGACTAGATAAACTAAGTATGATCTAGCCATACAACAGAGTATTATTTGACCATAAAGGAGTGAAGTCCTGGTACATGTCACAAGGTGCATGAAGCTTGGAAGAATTATGTTACTTGAAGGAAACCAGTCACAGAAGATCACATATTGTATGACTTCATTCATATTAAATGTCCAGAAAAGGCCAATCCATGAAGCCTAAAGGCAGATTTGTAGTTGCCAGGAGTTACAGGGAAGAGGAATGGAGAACGGCCACTAATGGTATGAAAATGTTCTTTACCTAGCTGGGAGTAATCATTGTACAATTTTGTGAATATGCTAAACAAAAAAATGTGATATTGTGGCTTTAAAGGTATGAATTTTGTGATATGTGAATTACATCTCAATTTTTAAAACTAATCTCAGGATCTCAGATACTATATGTGAGGGATGCAAAACCTTGGCTTATGGAGGTTCAGCACTCCAGGAGCCTGCCAGGAATTTGCCTCTGTAACTGGAATTCAGTGGGAGTGAGTCCTGGGGCTGAGGTATCCTTAGGTCAGTGTTCAGGCTTCAAAGACCTGGTTGAATGAGGGGAAACTCCTGTCCATGGGGAGTAGGTCATTGAACAATGGAGAAGGTTTCCTGTAGGAAGTGGGGCCACAAGAGTGAGGAAGCCTGGGAGGCCTGAGCTGCAGAGACACAGGTATTCTCTGTCAGTTGGCCAGGCAGAATCTCCTAGGGCTGGACTTCCACGCTCCCCACCGACAGTCAGCATCAGGACGCTCTAGGGGATGCCTTTGAAGGAGATCAGATCTCATTGCTGTGATTGGGCTACTGCCATGGTTCCCATCGTTACTGTGGGAAAAAGCCAGCATGTGCAATGGGACTGTGCCTCTTGAGCCGGCATCCCACTTGTACATTTGGCCAAGATGGATTTGAATGGGATGGTCTCTGAGGGCCTTTTCTGTACTGACCCACGGCATAGCTTGCTATATGATTTGGACATTCTTACTGGCCCTGATTACATGCATAGTAGTGCTGCTTGGGGGACTGGTGTTTGTTCCAAAATACACCTCAGAAATGCCTTTATTCTCAAACTCTGGGTGTTGTCTTGACCCTCCACCTCATCCCAGATCTCCTATCCTAGTCTGAGACAAACACACTCAGGCCTCAGCTCAGCCTCCAAGAATCCAGGTTCCAAGAATGGAGCCAGTGCCTCCAAGAGTGGTTCATACTGAGGCTGCACAAACCATCTCCCTGCTGGGGCTACTGATCAAGGGCCATTGCACAGCTTCTCCTTAGGAGGGAGATGTCTGCTGGGAACAGAGCATGTGCAGTAGGAGGCCCTCAGTGGGGTGGAGGAAAAGCCCTTTCAGAAGCTACATCCCAGCGCCGTGGCATAGAACCCAGCAGACTGTCAGGACATTGATTCTTGGATGCTTACCAACCAAGGTGCCTGACCTCAGGAACACCCTGGATCGGAGAAATTCCCGGGCCAGGGCCTGTGGTAGTCAGCTTTCTGTTACTGCAACACAATACCTGAGAAAATTCCCTTCCACAAGGAGAAATTATCTTGGCTCCCAGTTTCAAAGGTTTCAGTGCAAGCTGGCTGGCTCCACTGTTTTCTGGGCAGGCAGTAAGACAACTTCATAGCTGATGGGCAGGAGGGGCTGGAACACAATGTAGCCCCAGGACATGTTGTATGACCTCCCGCTTCAGTTAAGCTCCTCCTTCTGTTCCCTCCCTCTTAAAAAGGCCATCAAGCTAAAAGTCCATCAGTGGGTTGATCCACTGATGAACGTAACACAGTCACTTCCCAAAGCGCCTCCTCCGAGCATTGCTACACAGGGACCAAGGCTTTCACACATGAGCCCCTCGGGGAGGCGGTGAGTAGCTTCATATCCAAACTAAAACAGGGCCATTCTCCAGGATTTCACCCCACATCCTGACTGTCCCATAGGACCAGCAAGTGAGGGGCCCCACGTCCCGAACAAGGACACCAAGGCTACAATGGACACAGAAGACATCCCTGGAGGCAAAGCCAGCCCACATCCTCGGAACTCAAGGCCACGTGTGTTCCAGAGCATCAAGGTACCTCACGGGGCTCGGCAGGGGCAGGGCCTCCAAGCCCCACAGAGCTGAACTATGCGTGAACGCCAAGCACATTTCTTCCTGCTTCTGTTTCTGCGGCTGGAGAGTGGGTGAGGATCAAAGGGATGAAAACACTGAGCTTGGTGCAGGTACACAGAAGGAATCCAGAAAGTGTTCCCTCCTTCCCAAGATGAAAGCTGCTTGGCCCTATGGACAGTCAGGGGCCACGCCCTTGGCTTCCCATTTTTCTAGAGAAGTGGAAAAGTCCCCCAGACATGGAACCTGAGTGACTGCCAGTGAGGTCTGCCCCACAAGGGTGGCCCTGAAGAGCCAGCATCTCTGGCCCTGCAGGGTGTCAGGCCCTGTTCTAGGTATTATCATGTGTGATTGTTTTTAAATGTGGTGCTGGCAACAGAACCTGAAGTCTGGGCCAGGTTTAGCAAGCGCTGTACCCTGATCCACAGCCCCAGCCTGTGTAATCTTATCAGTTCCTAGAAGACAGGTCTTTGTCCTTGTACAGACGAGAAAACTAAGAATTGGAACATGAATATCATTTTCTTCTCCTAGAAATTCCGCCAGTCTTTTCAAGATGGTTATAGAAAGACTGAGAAATGGGGTGAGGTGGATGGGTATTTTTGGACTGATATTGGGGGGCATGGTCCCTGGGACAGCACTAAGGCAGGACTGGGTGAGAGTGGGTTGGAAAAGGAGCTGGGCAGGGGGAGGGTGCTGGAAGAGTGAGGAAGCTTTAGTCTACCTCTGGGGAACTCTGGTCAGGGGCTGGGGCTATCAGTATTTCCTGGTCCCTTGGAGACCCAATTTTCTGTTGTGTGGGTCTCTGGTATCCCCCAGGTCCCCAGGGTAGCTTTCTTACTCTGAAAAGCCATTGGCTATTCCAATTAGCTACTAGCTAATTCTCTCTCTCTCTCTCTTCCTCCTCCTCCTCCTCCTCCTCCTTCTTCTTCTTCTTCTTCCCTCTCTTTCCTCTTCTCTGTCTCCCTATCCTTTGCTCTTCTATGGCCTCTCCCTTTGTCCCCACCCCCATTTCCAACTCCCCCCCCACTTTGCTCCCTGCTGTCTCCCTGACCCCCACCACTGTGTTCCTCCCCCAGTTCTTCGTCCTGTGCCACAGCCTGCTGCAGCTGGCACAGCTCATGATCTCTGGCTACCTCAAGAGTTCCATCTCAACCATAGAGAAGCGCTTCGGCCTCTCCAGCCAGACCTCAGGGCTACTGGCCGCCTTCAATGAGGTACTACTGATTTGGGCCCAGCCACACGAGCCCAACCACCTCTCTGCCAACCTCCTATCTTGCTGCCCACCAGAGACCTTTCCCCCGCCAGTACCCCTAGGCAGTGCCTGCCCAAAATGGCTCTTCTCTGGCTGGACCAGAAACCAGAGCCTTTCTGTCCTAGAATGCCCTAGTGTGGGCAGCTGTCTTCTAAGGCCCAGAAGTCCTGCCCTCTGGAACACTTTACTGGGGGACATGGGATGCTTTAGAGCTAGCCAGGATTCCCATCCATTCTACATTAGGCTTCTTTACTCTCTCTGGCATCTAACTATTGGCTGACCCAGGGAAGAATCAGAGAAAATCTCTTCTGCTATCTCCAGAGAGGCTTAAATTACATCCAGGGCCCTCTCTGACCTTGGGATGGCACCAGGGAGGAGTGTCTGTCATCAGAGTTGCCTCAGGATCCACAGGTCACTGCCCACTGTGCACAGCTAGACAGAGAGCCTCGGATGAGTGGCTCTGGGTGGATTTAGAGATCAGAGTTCATCCTTGTCCAGCCCTGCACTGCCAGATGTTTTCACCTCTGGAGAAGGAAGATGCACCCCTAGCCTGCCTAGAAGGTCTCCATAAGATTCTTCCTCTTCTTTCATGTGACATGTCCCTTTGGGCCCAAGGCTGCACAATGCTCCCAGCTGTGTCTCAGCGCAGCACACTCAAGTTTCAGAAAGAAAAGCCAGTGGCTGTCCTTCCCAGCATCCCTCTGCTGCTAGAACCCCACCTGGAGTTCACCCTTGGTCACTGGCCCAGAAGCAGGGGCAGAGCCACCTTCCTGCCCTATATAAGCTCACAAGTCCCCTCTAGCACTTAGAGTCCCAGATTGTGAGCTCAAGACAATGACAGCCAACCTTAGAGCACCCTGTAGCACATGTGCCATGAGTTCACCTCTGTTGGTCTGAGGCCTGAAATTCAAGGCTTCAGATTTTTGTCACTTGTGCCTCATTTGTAAGATCCCTGAAATTCAAAACATTCCTCAACCCTGTTCCATGTCCCAAAATGAAATTGGTCTTTCAGCTTTATCCTCCTTTCTCTGTCTGCAAGGAACAGTGAGGTGCTTCCTAGCAGGCCCCTGAAGCCTGAGTTCATCAGACAGACCCAGTGATCCTTATTCAACAGCCCATCTATTACACAGCTAGGGACACTGAGACTGGCAGTAGAGAAAAGACAATGTAGGCCCTTGGCCCCGAGCTGTGTGTCACTTTAATGGGTCACCTTGTCCTTTTGTAGGTGGGTAATACAACTTTGATTGTGCTTGTGAGCTACTTTGGTAGCCGAGTGCACCGGCCCCGCATGATCGGCTGTGGGGCTGTCCTGGTAGCCCTGGCAGGCCTGCTCATGAGCCTCCCCCACTTCATCTCGGAGCCATACCGCTATGACCACACCGGCCCTGGTAAGAACCCGAGGGGCTGGGCAGGAGACCGACACAAGGCTGTGCAGTCCTTGTGGGGCGAGATGGGTCCCATTTCCAGGATACCTGCTAGTCCATCCACTCCATCCCATCTCCCCAGGGCCACCTAGGTGGGTCTCTATGGTAGGCCTAAGATGAGGAGTGGGAGGGGTGTAGTCCCACCACAGAGGGGGAAAGCCTTCTAGGCCTTTCTTGGTGAGGGCCTGCTCCTAGGTCATTGTGGTTTCTTTGAAGTGATGAGTGAATTTTTAATACAGCCTCCCTAGGGACCTGGAATTTGATAGAACCTCAGGAAATGCCTGTGGAATGATTACTGTACCACACACTACTTCCTGTGCACCAGACTCCACTCTGAGCACATTGTGTATATCCATGCATTTAATCCTCACAGCCAGGAGACTGGAGAAAGAAAATCAATGAGCGAATGAACAAATTTAAAAGATAAAAGAATTTTAGATAGAAATAGTGAGACTGTGTTCATTCAAGGGCAAGTTTGGTGAGGCTGTACTTGATAGATTCTATCTCAGAGAAAGGCCTCAACAGCCTATGCTTTCACTTGTCTCCTTCCCTCTCCTTTATACCCATCCATCCACCCACCCACAAACCCATCCATCCACCCACCCACGAATTCATCCATCCACCCATCCTTCTACCCACCCATCCACCCACCCATTTATTCATCCATCCATCTATCCACCCACCCACCCATCCACCTATCCACCCACACCCATCCATTCACCCACCCATCCATCTACCCACCCATCCATCCACCTATCCATCCCCCATCCACCCACCCATCCATCTACCTGCCTATCCATCCATCGATCTATCCATTCATCCATCCATCCATCCATCCATCCATCCAACCAGTGGTCCATATAGTAAACCCTTAATGATGTTTGCTCTATGTCTGACCCCCTTTCTAGAGATTCAGTCCTTCTCTCCAGGCAAATTAATATAAAACTCTGTGTCATTTGTGCAAGACAGAGAAGAAAAAGTGAATAGAACCCAAGGGAGAAGCCTACACTCCAGCTCAACTTCAAAAAGACTTGCCAGGGATGTTGGAGAGATAGCTCAATGATCTAAGTGCCTGCCTGGCAAGTACAAGGGCCCGGGTTTGATCCCCAGTACCACATGCCATGCAGGCCCCAGAACCCCAAGCAAGCCATGCAGGCCACCAAAACCAGATGCGGTGGTCCACAACTGTAACCCCAGCACTGGGGAGGCTGAGACAGGAGGATCACTATGAGTCCGAGCTGCATAGCAAGACTCTGTACCAATCAAAATAAATAAATAAGATTTTTTTAAAAGGCCATGCCAGAGGAAGAGGGACTGTTCAAGCATATCCTTCCTGCCTTGCCCTCCCATCAGTTCCCATCCATGATGTGCTGAGACCAGGAGCAGGAAGATGAAACAGATGTTCCCAGTAGAGTGCAGGTTGGAGTGAGCATGGGCAACTCTGCTACAAGGTTTGGATAGAGACACACCTGTTAGGGGCTGATGAGAAAGAGCTATTAGAACCTAGACTAGGGGAAGGAGGCTTGCAGGGGAAGAGAGCTGTGGCACTGGGGAAGGTGGCACTGGGGAGCAAGTGGGAATTGCAATAAAGGGGCCAGATATGGGCAGAGTCGGAGAAGCAGACAAGCAGAATGTGCCTGAAGGGTACAGAATGGTTAGTTCAGCCTCAATGAACAGTTCCCAATACTAAAAAGTACTTCTAGTGACACTGGGATTGAACCCAAGGAGCATGAGCTGTATCTCTGCCCCTTTTTATTTGACGTTTATTTTGAGACAGAGTCTCGCTGAGTTGCCTAACCTGACTGTGAAATTGCAATCCTCCTGCCTCAGCCTCCAAAGTGTCCAGGATTACAGGCAGGAGTCACCACACCCTGCACTTCCTCGCATTCCTATGCCTAGGATCTCGTCTTTTCCAGAAGTCTTTCTGTGTTGGATCACAATCCTCCATCCTTACCGCCAAACCCAAGCACAGCCCTTGTCCCATCAGAGTCTCAGGGTTCATGGGGATATGAGTGGGTGAGGCTCGGTGACCTCGGAGCCTCTGTCGTCCCCTGACTGTGCCAGCTGTTTCATTCAACCCTCCCTCCATCCTCCTAGAGTTGATGCAGCTCTAGTAGGTACTAGGCCTTCTTCAAGGTACTAGGACCTTGGTGGGGAAAAAAGAATAATCACCATATCGAGGGTCCGGTGGCCCTGAGCAGGAGTGCTGATCCCTCGACGCTCAGAGCCCCATGGGGCTGCCGTTGTCATTATTTCCTTGTTGTCACAGACACAGAGGCTCCAAGGGGGACGAGCTTCCCCGTGCCCAGAACTATTCCCAGATTCCCACTCTGAACTGCTGAATACCCTGCTTCTGCATTCCCCATCTGTAAAGAACATGGGTTCTAAGAAATCCCTCTGGGAGGTGAGGACCAGAGGGGTGGGGGCCTCTGCCCAAGTCACACAGTGAGGCCCCAGGAGCCTCCGCAGAAGGCCAGTTCTGGCTTCTTGGCTGTGCTTCACCGGCTCTTCCCGTCCAAGGGTGTGGCTTCCAGGGGCCCAAGCTCCCATACTGGGAGGGCCTCGAAGAAAGGGTGGCCTCTACCCCTTCATTTTGGGATAATAATAGTGTGGCAGTCGCAAGTTTGCTGACCAAATATTGGTGAGCTACAGGACACAAACAGCTGGTACTGAATTAAGAAATTGTCCCTTCCTGTATTCTGTAACTGGGCTGACACTGCCACCCCCATGAATGAGCCCTCCAGGGTCCAGCCCAGCCCCCCTGCCTTCCCGGGACACTTTGTGATTCAGCCCTTCCAAATTTAGTCTACCAACCCAGTGCCCTTTTGAGCCCTGGGTTTGCCTATACTATTACTTCTCCCAGAAGCACCCCTCCCTCCTTCTTTTTCCGGAAAATCTTGTTTGTTCTTCTAGACTGAGTTCAAACTCTACCTCCTTTGACCTCATCCAAGAACCACTAACACCATGAGCCTATCAAATGCCTCCATCAGAAAGGTGGCTTTTAAAAGGTTAAGAGCAGGGACCCTGAACCAGACTGCCCAGGGTTCCAGTCTTGCCTGTGCTCTGGCTCATGGCCATCTGGGCATCAGTTTCCTCACCCATGAAATGGGGCAATGAGGAATCCCGCCCCCTGGCTTTGTTGGGTAGCAAATGATTCCTCTTCAGAGTACTTAGAACAGTTCTCTGAGTCTGGTAAGTGCTGTGCTTGGCTCTGATCCTATTTGTGTTGCATCTCTCAGAGGACACGTCTCAGGACTTGGCAGCTTCCCTGTGCCTGCCCACGACCCCAGCCCTGGCCCCTGACTCCTCCAATGGCAGCTGCTCCACCTTCACAGAGGTCCGGCATGTGACTGTGGTGGGCGTCATGTTTGTGGCACAGACCCTGCTCGGCGTGGGTGGGGTGCCCATTCAGCCCTTCGGTATCTCCTACATCGACGACTTTGCCCACGACAGCAACTCACCCCTCTACCTTGGTGAGGTGCCTCCCACCACTCAAGCTCTGAGGTCAGGCCAGGTTGGGTAGAAGGCAGGGTGGGTGCTGGATGCTGGGTCTCCCTGTTCTCTACTCCATCTGACCAGTAGGAGTCAGGAGAAGACTGGTGACCCTGTCCATGGAAGATTTGGTGGGCACAGACCCGCTGAGCGGAGCCAAGGCTGCAAGTCCTGACCCAGGCTTTGTGTTGTAGGGATCCTGTTTGCTGTGACCATGATGGGGCCAGGCATGGCCTACGGGCTGGGCAGCCTCATGCTGCGGCTCTATGTGGACATTGACCGGATGCCGGAAGGTAAGCTTCAGGGCTGTGCACATGTCCCCAGGGTACACAGACACCAGGTCCCTGAACACTGGCCTCACAACTCTGACCCAGGAGCCAGGGGTCCGGAGCCAAGACAAGGTCAGCAAGATAACTCAGTGGACTAAGCACTTTCGTAGGCAAGCAAAAGGACCAGGGTTTGATCCCCAGTATTGCCTGCCTGCAGGTCCCGCCCCTGGGCACCCTGAGCCGGGTGATCAAGGCCGGGCGTGGTGGCTCATGCCCATAATCCCAGCACTGGGGAGGCTGAAAACAAGAGGATCACTACAAGTCCAAGCTACATAGTGAGACCCTGTATCAAATCCATTTTAAGAAAAGAAACAAGAAGAAGATGCCAAGAGGTAGGGTGGAGGTTAGCCTGAAGGTGGCCAGGAGGGAGAGCCTTGTGGGTCTCAGAGCTCTGGAACCCTCGGAAAGGAGGAGTCCTGTTAGAGCCTGCCACTGTGGCTTCTCAGCTGCCTGCTTCTCGCAGCAGCCAGTTATACGCTGCAGCTGTGCCTTCTGCTCACAAGTCCTGACCTTCACCTGGGGACTCTCCAGCTGGCCCCTGTCCTGGTGACGCCTGTGTGGCTGACTGGATGCTCCCTAGCTTTTGTCTATGGATACCCCTAGCCAGGATAGGCCTGGACAGGTCTGTAGGGACAGCAGTGCCCTGTCTCTGTTCTTTCTAGAATGCTGACCATAGAACAAGATCTGAGATTTGGTCCACTGCTCTCTTCCCAGAAGGTCTTGAGTCAAGGATGTCCTACCTTTCCAAGGCACACCTTTGCCTGCAGGAAGGAGTGTGCTTTCTGCCCACATGGACTCCACCCTGCAGCTCTACT